TTCATCAGCCGAAAAATTAAACAGTCTAGCTTCTGATACTTTCAAAACCATATATAAATTGAATAATTTAACAAAATTAAGCGAGATTATAATTGACAGTTATTTTGATCCGAAAGAAATACTAAAACTTGTAATTATACATGTGAATAACATGCCTCTAGAAGAAATAAGTGTTGAACTTATTGAGAAATCTATAGCTGTTCTGTATTATATAAGCAGTGTTTCAGAAGAAGCCACTAGAATGTCGTACAATGAGATATCGCCCTGGTGGCAAGAGGTTCGGGACATGCTTGTTGATATGCCCTGTCCCTTAAGAAGCATGATAGTGGCAATGGCTTGCAAAGGTGTTGGACGATTATTTGAAAATAATTCTTCAGATGAAGATGCTTGGGAGTCTTTAACAAAAGAAAATGCTAAATGGGGTATACTTATAGGTAAACTTGAGGATATTTCCATTTTAAGTATTGTATTGATATTTAAAGAGAATTTTAATGGAGATATATTACCAAAACTACAGTTTGAAGACTATAATATAAATCTGAAATTTATTTATACTAGGGGCAAAGGATCTGTAACCGAATTGATAGCAAAATGGCTTTGCAGCATGGGAGTACCTCCAGAAGCTATAATCGTTAATGAATTGATAGACAAACAGACTTCTTTAAATCGTGATAGAGTAGAACCTGATGCAGATAGTAGTCCTATTTATCCTTTCCTGGAAAATAATAGAAAATTAGTTGATGATAACCCTAGAATATTCAAATGGCTGTCTCTTCTATGTCGGCAATTCCCATTGAGTACATCAACTAATTATATAATAGCTAACATGTCTTGGGAGTATGCAATGGCATGGCAAAAAAATATGCAAAATACGAATGCACTAAAGGCAATTAATTCCTGTCTAATGAATATATCCGATTTCCATTTACGTTTAGGCCTAATGTCCATAATATGGTCTACATATATTAAACATATATTTGAGGTCACTTGCCGTTTGGTAAATAAAGTAGGCAGATTACCTAAGGATCCCCTATGCCTTCAAGATGTCGGCTTCAGTAACACAAATCTACTGAGTTTTCTCGAATTGACAACCGTATACTTGAGTAATTTTTTAAAATGTGCATCTATGTCAATTAGCCAAGAAAAACAAGTAGTACAATTTGAGAAAATTTGGGATGACAGTGTACCCTCTTTAGTTGAAGTAGCACAAGATATAAAAAATGTTAACAGTGATATATTGAATCTGAATTACCAAATTTCTTGCACGATATACTATCAATGTAACTTTAATTTAAAGTTCTCAAAACCGCTAGATACGTTATACGACATTGATTACCAATATATATTTGAAGCTCTCACTGGAAATGTTGTGAATAGAGAAATTAACATGATAGCTTCAGAAAAAATAAGAAATCCACGTTTTAAATTTATCACTAAACTTATTCGAGCCGCTATTGAGACGATAACCACTATTGATTCCAACAGTCCGTTCAAAGAATACAATGATGAGGAATGTGTACAATGGATCGATAAAATCTCTACACTGTCGGATCTTTGGAATATAGATGTGGATTTTCTACGACGTCAACAGGTAGAGTCATGTGTTGTATATTTTTTTATAATTATGTATATAGCATCTATTAGAGAAAAGTATGTTTCTTTTACTATTTCGTTACTGACACACTAAGGCAGCGTACTGGTTTGGCTAGTAGTTCTTAATAAATTTATATTCGCACTAGCCGATCTTCCACGTGAAATTTATAGGCTATGTGTTAGTCTGATGTATAAGCTATATTATTGTAAAGTTTCATTAAAATCCATTCAGTAGGTTTTGTCTGAAAGATGTGTAGGTACTATTTATATGTGTATGATTGTGATGAAATAGATACAATAACTATTTTAATTCAATTACAATAACCGTTGTACTTGCTCAATGGTATTCTACAATTTATTATAGTTTACTATTCTACCAAAAATACGAAAGCTGTAATTTCAATATGTTACAGGTCATAGGTTTATATCACTTGGGATACGACTCACTAGCAGAAAATATAATAGGTTTAATTAACGAGCCAGAACTTATTATGTCACCAATATTAGCCATATCAACCCAAAGATTGAAGCGCAGCTTGGAACATTCTAAAAACCAACCCGAATGGATAGTTACTGTCACACCGCACCTGTACAAACGCTTACAAAACACTGTAAGTATAAGTATCTCTTTGTATAAAGTCTTTCCTATATTTGTACATGTGTATGACATCATAATGACCAAACTACTGAACCAACTCAATTCAAATATACCATAACAAACAAGGAATATATGTCTGTAAAGTGGCGATAAAGTGATGACATTACTTTATGCAAGCAATGTTACTAAAATATTAACAAGACCAAATAGTAAGCTTAGACAAGCTATCTAAGAAACTTTATAATATTTGGTCCTTACATATGAAATTGGCGTTTTATAAATATCTCCTCTATGGTTAGGAATTCCAATTTCAAATTTTTTACAGCTATTTACCCATGCATATGTTTCGAAAACCGTAATGCATATGTATCGCGTTATTTACGCGGACGAGTTCCGCCGTGGCACCATTGCTGCAAAAACGGCTCGAAGGATTAATGATGTGTATGGCGGAGGTGTCGCAAAAGAAAACACAGTGCGGTTTTGGTTCCAACGTTTTCGTTCTGGAAATTTCGACCTGCAAAACAAGCCCCGTGGGCGTCCGGAGGCCAAGTGGAAGCGAATGGATCGCAAACCACGTCCGATTTAGCTGCAAGCTGCTCTGCTGCTGCAGATCTGGCACTGGCGTACTCTTAACACACCTTCTCCATACACATCGGTCAATTTCTTTCTTGCTTGAACAGCATTTTTTTGCCCTTTCTGTAGTAAAACAGTAAGATATGTCGAAAATGCACCAACCAAAACCTACTGCCTGGAATGAATTGAAATTTTTCACACACAAGCCTTGCTATGTGAACTCTCAAAGCACATAAAAATTATACGGCTTAAGTGTGATGTTGAGTGCAAAAAAATACAATTAAATCCTCTGTCAGGAAAAAACTAAATAACTTTCCGAACAACCTAATATATTATACTTTGAAAATATCTTACTTTAGGTCACACCCTTACAACACGCCAGTTTCCTATGTTAGGACCTAATATTATATTGATTTTTTATGCTATAGTGAAATATAGTTAGTATATATTATGATGCAGGGCAACAGGCATGGCCAATATAATACAATGCCCGTAATATTTTTATTATTACCTACGAATTGTGCTTCCAGTTACAAATATTTCCGTTGTATATATATCATATAAATTATTTATTCTAGTGAAAAACGCGGTGAATATTCACTATATTCTGTGAATATTTCATCATTATGCCTGCAACCGTTTTTACGTAAAACCTTAATATACAAATAGACGACTAGTTTCCGCCTTCTCTCAATTTTACTATTTCATTATATGCAATGTTTGTTACAGGCTTTGGACACATCAATACCTGCTCATCCATCATTGTCTACAACAGTATCAGTACTGCAGAAAATGTTATTTCAGTGTGACAAGAAATCAACTAATTCTCCATCAGACTTGCAGAATATTAAATTAGCTGAACTAATTATAGAAAACTGCGAAGTTTTACTGAAACGTAAACTATAGATAAATGCCAAATCTGGTTGATCAATTTGTTACCAATTTATATTTATGTAATAATTATCTTCCTTACATAATACATAAAGCGACGTATATATTGTATAGCATTGACTGTCAAATGACGGGTCAGTTAACTATTATTCATATTCTATTTCATAAAATATTGTTTTCCTTATTATTAAAATGTTTTAAGACTTGTTGGAGAAGTTTGTTTAAATTTAATAGATATAATTTGTAAATGAAACGTAATGTAAATATTGTTTCATACTGTAGGTAATAAGTGTTTTCTCATGTAACAAAGCTATGTTATATGTATGAATGACTTGTAAGTGGACAATCTTTATATATTTATTCATTACACTTAGAAAGTTGTACAATTGGCGAGTGTAATGCTATATGCCATTATACTACCATTCTACGCATGTAACAATTAATAATGCCATAAAGTAGTCAATCGTTTCCTAACACACTATTTTCTCATTTAATAATATATTCAAAATAAATTATTTCTTACTAAGTACCGTGTGAAGTAAAATTAAGACACTAGTAATTTTATTATATATATTTACACTAAACGTGAAAAATTAATAAAACGTCAACCAATGTTGAAAGTTATGTCATAATATTTATTTAACATATGCTGAATATTGAATATTTTCCTTCAGATCACCGGTGCATTAGAATTTTAAATGTGATATTTCAATAATATAAAATAAAACCAATTACAATTTGTAACTACTTTTTACATTTATTTATCTACTTTTGAAACATGTGAACGTCCATATAAATGCAAAGCATTAAGTAAGTGTTGTGGTTTGATCAACTAGTGTAATGCGCATTTGGTTGTTTTATGGGCCGCATGAAGTAAAAATTATCGCTCTTAACAATAGACGTAACAATAATATTCATTGCGAGGCATTGTGGGTACCACTAATAGGTGTTATGTTAGTACTAATAGGTATATGGACTACTAGCAACAATGTTTTTGTGGTGGTAATAATCCAATCTGTAGGTGACGGTTACCACATTTGAGTAATTAGTGTTGTAACACCTCTCTGAACCTGCAATTCGTTTTCAGTCTTGTGTGATTGATTTGTGTGTAGTTTCCATGTATGGAAACGAACTAGGACTGATTCTTCCCAAAGGTTACGTAATAAATATAAATTGCTAATGAAGAATATAATTCTTACTTTTGTTTCAAATTAGATTACATCCGGCAGAATCCCTAGTTGCCATTTCCGTAAAATAAACAAATGTGTTGTCATAGACTGTCTGTCACTGTCATTGTATTCATAGAAAAAATGTTGTCCTGTCTAGTTATTTTAATTGTAATCAATTGTAATTTAAAGATTGAAGAATAATATTATAAAGGTACTCAGATATATCGAAAAGGGGTGTTATTCCTTGATTTTTAACTACGCGTTAACCACGGATAAATACAAGTATAATTTGCATTGCTTCCTCTTTTCTATCTTTCATCTTAGTATTACTTGAAGTTGTGTCGATTTCACAACAAAATTGGAAAAGTAGACTCCAGTTTAAATTATAGTGTGTTGTGGAATATTTATAATCATGAACATAAATATGACTACACAACAACGCGAGGAAAAGCAGTTGGAAGCTACAATACAAGCAATATTAAATAGAGTGAATGATTTGAAACTAGCTATACAGGCTCTTATAACTAAATTGGAAACTGAATATGAAACAATTAACTGGCCAACGTTTTTGGATAATTATGCAATATTATCAGGACATGTAAGTATTTTTTTGTTGATATGCTTTAATAAATATGGGTAAGAAAATGATTAACAAAATTAGGCATGGCATACTGATTATTGCTGGCAGTTTAGGGAACTCATTATCATGTTATATTGGTTTATTGCATAAAAACTTTATAGGTACGTTTATTGTTTATATAGATATTTTTTTAGTGAATTGCTTGTAGAAGTGAAGTGAAGTAACTTGAAACAGTCATGCTCACTATAAAGTTCAAACTTGTGGCGGTGTGGTGGGCCGGGTCAATGTGCTCCCTCTAATATGGTTGTATATAATGATGACTGGCTCATCCATCATACTCATGTACAGGTGCTGCTTATGGGGACTGGTCTGTTCAGGTTATAAACACTGATTAGACTTTTTGCTTTTACAATGGCATAGTAGTGATCACTCTATTCTACCAAATTTTAATTTAATTGAATCTGTATTATTGTATACATGTACAACATTTATTTGAAAAGAATACACGCTGAGTTTCTTGTCAGTTCTTCTCATCTCGAAATCATTCCAAACTGACGGTAGATTTGACATATCATAAGAGACATACATGAATAAAGATATTTTGAATTTGAATTTGTAATTCTATTTTATTTTTAAGGGTGTGGATAGGCCTGGCCATGGTATAAGATGATAATGTAAGAACTAATTATTTTTTTATAATTTTATCTATATGGTACCATCATAATTGTTATTTTACAGCTGACAGGATTAAGTAAAATATTGCAAGCTGAATTAGCATCACCATTGAGATCTCGTATAGTTTTACCTCTGCAATTGAGTTGTGAAAGAGATGAAACTCTAGTACGACTGACAGAAGGCAGAGTACCTGCATGTACCCATGACTTAGTACCAGACTTGCTTCGTACTAAACCAGAACTAAGCAGAACAGAGGCTTCAACAGTTTAATCATAAAGCCAGTACTCTCAGCTATGATACTGCTCAGGTATGCTAATTTACTGCACATTTTCAATAGTAAAACTTCATTATATTAACATATTACAAAGGGAAATAATATTTCTCAGAAATTTATCATTATATTAATAAATTTGTAATGAATATATATATATCAGGAAAACAATAATGCTGCCTCATGTCTAAATATTCTCTAATATTCTATATTTATGTGCTTTACATAATATTAGTCATGGTTCATGTCTGTTGATAATAATAGACAG